CAAAGTTGTTGCGGTGGAGAGCTCTCCAGTTTTCTGAATTTTTTATTTATTTATTTATTTATTTATTTAATACACCTGAAAGGGTGTGCACACGATGGACAAACAGAGTTGTAAAGCTGAGCGATCCATGATACAAAAGTAAAAATAAAGAAAGAAGGAGAGAAAATTGGGCTAAAACGTAACAATGAAAATAACCCTGAGATTATGGAATAGTTCAGAAAAAGGAACTGAGATGGCAGCCATTGAGGTCCTACACTGTAGCCGGTAATAAGGCCGCACTCACCATCCGGAAGACCGAAAAGGTCCCTGACGAGATCCTTGTCCCTCGTTCGGACGCTTTCGAGTCGAATAACGTACCGGGCTTGCAACCACTGTTCAATGTTATAGGTATACTTACTGTTCAATACCTTACTTTGGGGTTACTTCATTTACTTCTTCATCAGTTAACAGTCAACATCAACAGATGGCCTTAAGAATGAAAGAATCTCGAGTGTTCCATGACTTCAAATTTCATTCTTTGACCACTTTCTGAAATTCAAACACCTCTGATGATTCCGCATCAAAATAATGAACTGGTGGGGATATCAAAGTACTCCCAGGAAATGAAGGTTATGACAGTAAATTTAAAATTAGCTTTTTCAATCCATCAGGATGGCACGGTGGGTTCCCTCCCCCTCCCCAAATATAGAAGTACTTCAGTATACTTATATAGTGTGTAGAAAGTCTTTCGACACAAAATGGCCACCTACTGTCCATGATTGCCCCTACTTTTGGATTTTCATATGGGCTAGCCTGATTTGAATCGAGTCATGGGCCATTGGGCCAGATTAATCTGACCATTCTTGTAAGAAGACAGCTTTGAGCATTCTTGGAACAATTTATTTATTAACGCTTGCTGCTCAGTTAGGCGAATACAAAAATTTCTAGACCAGGGATTGAGTAAAAACCGAGTTTTCTCTCTCCAAACCCATTCCATTGGCCCCAATCATTTACCCGTTCAGGTTCTTGGTCTTCCTCCCGAGATTCCATTATAAACACCCGCTAAAGTGTGAAAACGTTCATCAACACCAGCATGCTTCAGGTATTCCCCAACTTCTACGTCACCTTTACAATCGGAGATTTTCTGATAGCAGAAAGATTGGAGGAAAAATTGTTTCTTCATTTTCCTTCGCTGCTTTGGGTTTATACTTAGAAACAGTACACTGTCCAAAGCACAAAGGCAAGTATGAAATGCGGTTATGAGCAATATAAGTGCTTTATTACCCTCTAATTTTATATTATGTTGTTGTCTCTTCTCCCCCAGATAGCTGAGCATTCGTTACTTGAGCATTCGTTGACATTTGAGGCTCATTCCTCACCTATGACCGTCTTTATTCGACTGTGGAAATCCTCCACTAACTTTTATCTAGTAAAACAACGCGTTTGGTAGGCCAAGAGGCAAAAATCGAAGAAGACCCTTAGAAATTCGTCAAGCTCCACAACTAGTAGCTGAACCCGCGCACGAGTTAGGAGATCGTAACGAGATTGAATAACTTCAATTTCCATTTTTTTTGCTATCCTCAAATAGCCGTTTAGAAACGCTGGGGGCTGGTTTAGCGGCTGGACCAACCGCGATGGAAAATGACCAGGTTATTTTTATGTTTGCAAGCATCCATGCACGCAAACATACACTACATCAGCATCACAATCGTGCGCGAGACTGTTTGCCGAAAAAATCGGGCTATGAACGTCCGACCCGCCCACCATGGCCTTCTATAAAGTCACATCAACACAAGGCTCTCGTCACTTCTCTTCAAATGTCTCGAACGGTGCTATTGGTTGCGTTCGCCGTTGTGGCCGTCAATGCGGGCACGCTGCATCCCAGAGGACTGGTGAGTTCATTCTCTTACTAAATTTATGTAGTTCGAATTGAAGAATTTACTTTATGAGAAGTTCTGAAGGATCTGCAAGACCGATAGCAACCCTTATGACTGTAACGCTCACAGGTAGAGCTAAGCGCTTGTTCGATCGCGGCTTGCTCCTAAAACAATTAGACAGACTGCCCACGATATGGTTCCCTCACCCCAAGGGCTGTGTGAGTCCAGTGTCAATGGGAGGAGGGGGATCCTCTACTGCGCTCTGCACCCCTAATATTAGGCATCTCCCAATGAAAGCACTGACGAGATAGGGTTATAGATAGCATAACTATTCGGAGTAACTTTCTGATAACGACAGGCTCAATCAGTCTCATTCGTGAGGGAGGATCGATTCCTAACCGAGGGTCAGATTTGAGCATAGGTCCAGGGGTATGAGGGAAAGCAACGAGCTCCAAAATGGTTGGTCCATTTATCGGGGCAGCTAGGTTGAATAAGTAAATCTGGCGAATATCACCTGTGCTCATCAGACGGCCACCTCAAATTAGCGTCTCATCATTGCTCCTTTCTTAGTGCTAGACACAACTATCACCGGGGACGTAGAGCGCAATGGAGCAGCCCCTCGAACTCCATTTTCACCAGTCTGCGCTACTGTACCGGAAACGGTTGCTCACAAGAAAAGCTACTAATTCTGTGGAGCTTGTGCTACATCATGGCGTCGAGCAGGGCGATCTGAGCCAATTCCCTTTTGCGGAGCCACCGAAGGGTCCACATATATGACAACAATTGGAAGAGCTAGCGGAACGATTTCGGGGTCATATAATGGGTTAGCTCTGTCGACGTGGAGTCTTCCTCTTCTTCTCCCTGGCGTTGGCCGTGCGCAGTCGCAGATTCCGCTAACATGGGTCCTCTTCGGATGCAAAAGTTAACACTTTAGCACATCATCTATAGTGCAGGGCATTCAAATAGAACCGGAATGCATGTGTTATTATCGAGTTGTTAGATACGCCACGTAAACTTTCCCATAACAACTACGGCCAGCTAATATTTAGGACTGGTTCTATCCACTTTGCTATTGTCAAGTAAAACGATTTAACACCTTCCATCACAACAACGCCATTACACATTTTACAGCTCCAGATAGAACTTTGATGGGAAGAAGTACCAGGGACATATATCAAATCGGATTGAAATGCGAAAAATTGACCTGAAAAATTGGGAAGAATGGGGGTAGCCGTGCAGTAGTCCTGAACCCTTCAAGGTAGAATACCTATTCTGCCTCCGATAGCTCAATGGTTGAACTCCTCCTTCTTCCCGAACTTGCTCCCAGCAAATAATCGGCTAGAATGGTGTTCATCGTTTACTGTATGAAGAGCAGAGATCGTGCAGATCTCGGCACGTCCTGTTCTATTTCGCTTGTGATAATTGTGCCAGTCCAAGGATAAATTTCTTACCAAAGATATATTTGACGTTTAGGAAAGATTTCAAATAACATTCGATTTTGAATTGATTGATTGATAGAACATTTTCACGAGCCTTCACACTTGAAATTGTGTTTAGTTCGGACATCCTTCACCTCCTCCATGCGGGCTTCCTCCTTTCATCGACGACCTCCCAAAGGACGCCCAAACAAAGCTGAAGGAGATCTGGAAGGACTGGAAGGAGGGCGAGAAATGCTACAATGAGCAGGGCCTCACCCGGGAGCTGGTACGTTTCCCTTCAGTCCTGTTGGTGCAAGAAATCCTACTCGTTTTTTAGTGAAGTAGGCTCAGAAGAATTATGCCCGTATTAATTGTTTTTATAGATGGATTCGCTGCCGAAGGACGTTCGTAAGAAGATCCACAAGGATGCATTCCTGCCGCCGTTTTTGAAAAAAGCTCCACAGGACATTCAGGAGCAATTCCGCAAGGTCATCAATGACCCATCGATCAAATTCGAGGACAAGCCGGAGAAGATCAATGAGCTCGCACAAAAGGTAATCAGGGAAGCTCTGAGCGCGGACAACTCTATAAAATCTATTTCTTCTCCAGGTTCTCACCGGTGACCTTCTCAAGGAGTTCAACGACTTCCACAAGAAGATGCAGGAGCATCGTAAGGACATTGAGGAAAAGGTAAGCCCGTCTTCGAAAAAGTCAACTAGTGGGTTAACTTTTGGGTTACGCTAATAAGTACAAGCATTCATTGTTTCAGGCAAACAAGCTTTCACCCGAAGCAAAAGAGGCATACGATAAGATAAGCAAGTTGGAAAAGGAAAAGCACGATATCATCTCCGCTCTCAGCGAATCCGCTCAGGAGGAGCTCTTCCAGATTTACAAAACCCGACACGCCAAGTTCCCAAAACCGCTTTAAATCGTTCACCAGCTCTTCTAGAAAGCTAAAGTTGTTCATGTATATAAATTGATTATGCTTTTTTGACTGACTTGGTTCACGATAAATTTTTTATTTAATTCGTTTACAGCTCGAAGCAGATTTTCTTTCATTTCGCTACTTATAGACACTTCTAGAAAAAGGCTAAGAGCACTTTGGAGGATTTACCAAATTTCACTTCTACAACAGATTTAACAAACTTCATTACTTCAACGCATACATAAATTGTTAAATGAAGATGAAATTGAATGGGTA